ACTGATGATTGTTTCAAGATTGTTTAGCTTCATATTGCCACGTGCTCTTCCTTTGACTACCTTGAAAGCAATTAATTCTACTCTGACTTTCCAGTAAAACCCAATGAGAGTATAGCACAATCTTTCAGAGACATTACAGCCCTGCTTCACGAAATGGCAGCTACCCCTTCTGTGATTTACACATGGTTGCTAAAGATACCTGTTGCACATGGTGGACCGCGGTATGGATATCAAAGAGCTACTGCCCCTGATCCAGTGAGCCTGGACCATCTGGCTCTGTATAGAGGTATTGGAGGCAGGGATGCCCATTTTATAGGCAAGCTCTATGAAATGCCACAGCATCTTACTTGTTGTATTTGACTAAGTTCCCCTGAGGCCTGTGGCAGACTGCAGGGGAGTTTGTTTCTATAACATAGTTTTCTGAGCGAATTTTACTGCTGCAAATGAACACTTTTGACTAGAATGCATAGTGGTAAGAGCTGCTTAAGTACAGAAGTCTATGACCTAAGTGTTAACATTGCATCTTCAGATTCAGAGTGTTCCTCTTCTTCCATAGCTGTCAAGTTTTTTTACAGAAGCGGTTACTGTTTACATGTTCAATGTAGGCACTTAGATGATGCCTGCCACTGCTAGTTGATACCAGCATTGCAAGATTTTTGGACATCATTCTTTAAAAAATAGGCTGCCTGTGATATCAAGAGGAGAACTACACCTCCTGAGCCTTTCTTGGTGTATAATTCAAAACCAGCTGTTAATCTTTTCTCATGTTCCTGCAGTAGACTATCAGTACTAAAATCGTGATAGTTTTCCTCATCTTATAGAGAAGTAATTTGTAAATGGTATTATGTTAGTGAAAGTGTAGTGCATCTACACTAGTGATGGGAATTTTCTTGATAATTTTTTGACCCTTTTGATTGTCCACAAGGATCATAACATAGAGTGATTTTATGCCGAAACAAGGAATGTTTTGGTGGTCTGTCCACATCAGTAGGTGAATGAGTTTCACACTGCCCAAATTTTTTTTCCCACCACTGGCTACGGTCTTTCTGCAATGTTGTAATGAGCTTCCTTCAACAGCTCTGAAGAGAGCATGCAATCTCAATATCGCTCCAGAGATGGTTTGCATTCTTGTTCACAAGTTGTATGAATGCTTTAAAATCAAAAACCCCAAACTAAAAATGCCCAGAGAACTCAGTGGAGCCCTGTTCTTTACCCCTTAGTACTATGACTGGAGAACTGCAGGAGAATTTCAGGTCAGTGTAATTTTGGAGTGGAGGATGATGGTATGCTAGCCCTCAAACAGAGCTGCTGTGTGGGGATGTAAGAAAGATCCTGCGATTTCGGTGAAGCACTGTAGCAGTTTTCCAGTCATAGCAACAAGTGTGAAGGGACCCAAAGCAGTTTTGAAAATGGAGTTCAGAAATCTCAGTAACTTTATGAATAGTGGTGTTCATGATGTCAGTGATGGTACAGGACAGGATTTCCTATTCCCTGTTTTACTGTAATGGTGATACGGCTTCTGTGGCAGAGAAGAGAGGAAGGTTGAAAATAAGAGGGAGCATTCACCTTAGAGGCTTCAGGATTAAGCTGATAAATAGGATAGATGGGATCTCAATCTAAAACAGTTTTAACAGTTTTTAAGGTTGTTGTTTGAATGGGGGGGGGGGAACAAACCATTTTTCCCTTTCTGCTTTTGTCTTTTAGTCTTTTCAGCACCTACATTAGGAGAAATGTAAATAAATGTAACACACTTAGTAGCTGAGAGTTTATTTTTGTTTCTTTTGGACTGTAGCTTTATTTTGAACACAGACATTACTGTAAGTGTTTATATTTATTGGAAAATGGGAGGATTTGGCTACAGAGTACCTTACTGGGCATTTTCTTTCATATCCTTTTTCTTTTGGTATCTGCAGAATCGGGCTTTCCATATGGACACCAGATACCGTTATCAAAGTCTCTTCTATTTGCTTTCATGTTTTGAATAAATTAGCATTAATACTGGGCCAATATTGTAGAAACAAATTGTGACATGAAAGCTGGTGTGGACAAAAAGAATGTAAAAGATGAAGTGCTACTAAAATCAGCATCATAAGCAGAAGAGGAACTAAAATGATTAATTTCAGTGTTGATACCACAGGTCTTAAAATAAGCTGACTGACTGTTCTATAAACTGCAATAACTACAACTTTATAGAAGGGTATGGGAATGGGCATAAAAATGCCCTGAAGTTTTGCAGCCATCTTGGATGTTAGCACAAGGCTGACTAAATGATGGTATTTTGTATGCTGCTAAGGCCTTTTTGATTATACTAGTTTCTATTTAGATTACTGTGCTGAAGAAACTAAAGGTTATCTGGTTAAATCTAAAAGTTTAACATATTAGAGTACTTTTTTGTCATTTTACAGGATGGCCAAGAAGGAGCTATACCTCTGGTTGCTTAGACGAATAAAGACCTGAAGGCTTTATGTGGAGCCCTAATTCAGTGTTCTGACTTGCCATCAGACTTCTTCAGTAGTCTGCCAGCAGTCTTATTTCACTGACACTGTCGACTTTGGGGAGGAAGAGGAGGCTTAACTTTTATTCTTATGCTCCGTATTGAAGCTACTAATTTTAACATATGCCTGAGACTTCTAATGTGGTCAATAGTGGAATGAAGTCAGTCCTGATAGGGCGTATTTCTTTGGATAGGAACTGTATAGCTTTGCATTGAACTGAAAGGTTTCAGGCCATCTTTCTCTGATCTCTTTCTGATAACTGTATACTTCTGTATAAGTTTTAGGTTTCTGGGTATCTGTAAGACAACGTATTTGAGGGTATTTTAGTGATAAATTATGAGGAATAGGTGCTCACATGAAATGTAAACCCTTGAAGTGAATACTGAGTTAATATTGTCTTTGCTGCCTCACTATGAAGCTTATTTTATTGGCAAGATACTTGCTTTCCAGATAGGCATTATACTAATTCATGTTTGATGTTTTAATCCTGCTTCTATGGAAAGTCAGCCAATTCCTACACTTCTATTGTAAGGGTTTAAACAAAGCTGCATATAAAGCGTGGGATTGAAAGCAATGCTGTGTTACAAATTATGAATGTAACAATAGGAAGACTGTTGTGACCCTGTTTCAAACGATGTTTACAATTGCCAGTATTTCACAGTGAAATAGTGGTAGAGGAAGAGGAAAATGCTGGTGTAAAAGTACTATTCTGTTACCAAATGTCTTGTTTCAAACTGGGTCTGTGTGTGCTTGGGGAAATGCCAAGACTGAAGTCTGTTTCCAGTGAGTCTGAAGAAAACACCTAATTTTGGTATTTTACTTTTAAAACCCATTGGCTTGTTAATAGAGGTGAGATGATTGCATATGGGACTTGAATTGAAAAGCTTGCTTTTCTATAACAACTCCAGGAACAAGGAATATACCAAAAGTATTCCCCCTTCTGCTGTCTGCACTTGCCGTGTGTGGTGGTATACCCGGCTGTAGTAAGGGACTCAACGTACAACTTTTTATAGTTACTCCAGACCCTCTGTACCTGAACTTCTGTGGATCCAGTTGTTGCTCTACTTAGGTTTTTTTGTCCCAAAGGTATATCTGGGCATATCTGGGTAGTTTTTACCTTGTAATCTTCTTCAGTGTCAACTTTAATGCAGAGAAGTAGAAAAATCTTAAGACTTCAGATACTCATTAAGTTGTGAACACTTCAAGTATGAAGGCAGAAGTCAGCCTTTTGTCCTGACTTGTAGCTCTAGATGCTGTTGTTGAGACTATTCACATATCCAAACTTTTACAAGATTGTCTCACCTTTGAAATATGTCCTTTGTGTCCAGAGTCTGTCTGACTATATATATGTCACATGAGTATATATGCATAACTGAACATGACATAACTTCCAGTGTTAAGAGGGGATCATGAAATGCAGTCTCATTAATCCAGTGTCTACCTCTTCTCTTTTAACACTGGTATGCTATTAGTGAGCAGTAGAAATCTTTGGAATTGGTTGAACAAAGAACTTTTTCTTGTCATTTCTGTGTGTAATCCTGAGGTTCCAGTCTGGAAGCTAAAAATGTTTAACAAGCTTCAGTAATGTAGAAATGAAAGCCAAAATTTCTGTGAAGACAAAACCTCAAGATTCGTAAATCTGCATCGTGAGCATGCACTTAACTGAATCCTTTCCTTTAAAGCAGCAACAGGATACAGAACTATGCTTCTGCTGTTTTACAGCTTCTATGCTTCTGCTTCTGCTTCTATGACAGGTAACCTTATTCTGTGTCCAAATGTGTTTCATCTCCTGAGATGAGTTTTTAGAATAGTTCACAGTGCAAGTAATTGATCCATTTCAGAAGCTAGTGGATTTTTCATGAACTTTCAGCAAACTACAATTCTATATTTGGTAATTTTAAGACGTGGTTAAAAAAAGCTAAAAAGAAATGCTTTCTAGAATATAATTTAAAAACAATTATGGCAAGCATTAGTTGTTTTAATAATCATGATTTCTGCAATGATGATGCAGCAGTAATACCTGAATTAACTTGCTCTATCACAAGCAGTGTGCTTGTGTACAAATTGAAGTAGCATTTGTAGTTGTGCATGATGCTTTATTACTTGTTTAGAATCTGTCCTACATAAAAAGCTATTATTGTAATAATGTTTTACATCCCTGATCAACAACTCTTATCTGCTTCCTTGACCCCCGTCCTCCAAAAGAAATTGTTTTTATTGAGCATGTAATCTTGCTCACCACAGTTGCAAAGTGAACAGAGAGTAGTCTTTTTTACAGTAATAATCATGATCACTTCACACATTAAGTGTTTTGGTCTCTTTGTCTAAGCTATGAATTTCTTGAAAGACAACAATTGAAACAGTAGATGTACTCTTAGTGTTTCTGTAACAAGAATCTAGAGTTTACAGTGATTTTCCCCCCCGCCCCCGACATAAATTGTATAATGGCTTTCTAAAAGTCCATTTTCATCCCTCCAACTCCATAAACCCACTCTCAAATCCTGAATTTGTTTGCTGCTTATTTCTTTGGAATGAGATGAATGGGTTTGATTCTTCTTTGCTAGGGAGGGCTCGTTGAGTAAAAGCAGTAGGCAGCCAGTGTGTGTGTGCCTCTAGGTTACAGGAAGCTTGTCATAGCCTTTTTCTTTTCTGCACAGAGTTTTTGGTCCTTTTCTGTGACCTGCTGTTCTGCTCTGTTAATGTGTCATCTACTTCCTCTTCAGCTTTCAAAGATTGGTATGACTGACTTTTGTTTAAAGATGAAGCTTACCACTTCTCCTGCTTCTTCCTGAATGTGGGAAGTACCTAATTCAGCCAAAGGTGTTCTTAAAGCTGTGAAAACGTATTTGTACCGGGGTGGGGGGAGAGAATTAATTTTAAGTAGATAACCTATTCCAAAACACCTTTTGTACTTCAAGTGTGTCAAATTCATTGCTTCAGTTAGATCTTTTCCGGAGTTACAACAGTTACCTATAGCACATACAAAAGGGTTTGGCTTCAGCTGCATGGAACTAGTTAAGAATAATACATGTGACAGGCAGCAATTTTGAAACAGCTTACGTATAGCTGAGAAACTGGAATTTGCAGATAGCACTGCGTTCTATAATGGATATATTTTAAAGGAAGGCTTAAAACTTCAAAAGAAGCTATACAAAATAAAATACTTTTTTTTTTTTTTCCAAGGAGAACCCTTCAATAATGGAGTAACTTTGCCTTTACCAAATGTCATATGTGTTTTTGAGGCTGTTTGTGACTGTTTCTGCATCGAAACTTTATAGAAATCTTTCTGTGGTTGCAGTTGGTTAAAGCTTCAGTCAGTTAACTGGATTTGTATATATATGTAATACACTTCTTGGAAATCTGACAAAACACTTTCCCTCAAGCACTATAAATGAAATTGTTTATCAGAACAGTAGTAGTTAGTAATGTAGTATTGAGGATTATACCCATGAGCAAACTTTAAGGGAATGATGCAGGTGGATGGGCAAAAAGTTATAAATGTATTTGCTGTAGTGTGTCCTGAGGCATTTTTCTCATCTTGCTGTCTTGAAAGGTGAGCATCAGTCTTCATAATAAAAACTTGCTGGGAGATTACCTTGAAAGTAGTCATGGTACTCTAATATAAGTAGCCTTATTTTACCATAACCAGTAAATAGACATTTTAATCCTCTACTTTGAACTAATCAAAGGCCAGTTCTAAAACATAACTTTAAAACAAATCAGAGTGGTGTCTTAAGTCCCGACACTGCAGATAGGCTGCTTTTTTTTTTTTTTAAAACCAGCAAGATCATCCAATAGTGCTGTTTTGCTTCTTTACTGTTTATATTTCCTTCTTCAAAATACAGTAAGTGTAATGAGGCAGACAAGTTGTTCTAGCTAGGATTCTTATTAGTTTTTACATATTTCAGAAGACTCCTTTCCATTTATTGAGAATAAAAACACATTACTAATTCACATTGGGGAAGTCTTATTTAAAATAAAAAGCCTGTACATGTAGCACTAATAAAAATCTCAACTGAAGCTTTTTAGCTGTGTGACTTCACATTTTAGGAGCTGTGAGAAATGCCTGCTCATGGATAAAAATGTAGAGAGGACAAAGTCTTCGAAGCAAAGATAAAAGTATTCAGGATTAAAATAAATGAGTCAGCTGAGTCGGGTGCATCTCAAAAAGAGCACCCTTAGCTACAAAACTTCAGGTATTTATGTCCTGTCCCCTCTTCCCATTGGTTAGGTACTTTAGGACACACATTCTTTCATGACCTCTTAGTCTATCACAACCTCTATTCACATTTTTCTCCTTTGAAGGAGTTGTTTTTCGAAGTTACACAGCTCTGCTTGTGCTATCGACACACAAAATGGCTGTTCATAGCGCTGCTTGTGTTGTTGACATACAAAATGGCTGAAGCAAAACAATTCCATCTCTCACAGAAGCCAAAGCTGACCTGATTTACGTTATGCATCTGATGTGTGTTTCTTGAATTGATGAGAGCTTCTTGAAGAAAACATAGCAAAATATGTTAAAAAAACAAACAAACCAAAACAACCTGCCAAACCCAGTAATTTACAAGCTGTTAGTAGTAAATTTTTAAATTAGAGGGTTATGCCATTCCATGCCCTACTGAGGTAGGTAGTGTATGGACCAAATAATTACTTCCACAAAGTGGCAATTTTGTTTTCCAAATCGTTGCGGTGTCAGGGGATTGCAAAAATCTTGCTGGTGGTCTCTGTAGAGAGGCTGCCTAAGGAGCTGCTTTCTGCAAGTGTTAGATTATTTTCTCCATACTTACTATATGCTGTACTGCAAACTTTTCAGTGTCCTGAGATTGTCTATTAAAATTGGCTGTGAGAGATGTAGCAGGGCTATACAATTCTCCCTAGGAGGCCTGTGTCCGATATTAATAAGGTGGAGAAAAAAGTGCTAGGCTGTTCAGAGTGTGAAGTTCTCCTGTTGTGTAGTAATACTATGATTTCTTGACTGCCAATCAGGAGTTGTAGTCTTAGACTTAAAGTGCAAACTGTTCCCATTAAAGTAGAGAAATACAGAGAAATGTGAAGATTGCAACTTTGCACTGTGTAACAACCATGGAAAAATTGTATGGTTTGGGTTTGTTTTTTTCTGTCCTGTAGAGAAGAATGAAGAGTGTATCTGATATTGTAGTCTTAGGACATAGGGTGACAGTGTGTCTCACTTAATGTGGGTTTTTTTTATGTTCTACACTTTTTAATCCTAATGTAAGAAAGGCACTTTCTAAACTTTCTAAAAATTCTTATCTATTTTCATTGAAAGGTATTCTCTGTTTTATAACCGCTTGAAGAACATTGAGGAGAATGAAGGAGGCCTTGATAAATTTACAAAAAGTTACAAATCCTTTGGAGTTAACCAACTTGTGGATGGTGGAATATATTGCAAAGAATGGGCGCCGGGAGCAGAAGCAGTGTTTCTCGCAGGTGACTTCAGTAAGTATTTTTAGGAATATTTCTTTTCTATTGTATTGTGTTTTAGATCAATACCCTTTTCACTTAAAGACAATTTTGTAGCACCAATGAAATTCTGATAGTAAAAATGTATGTAGTGGCTGGCTGCTGTAGTGGCATTTCGTAACTTAAACTAATAATCTCCTACTCTACATTGCAATAGCCTAAGAACATAGGTGTTTCTATTGTGTGGTCAGTATTATGTATATCTATTATTTTTTAATACCTGTAAGGTGGTGACTTGTCTAAAGAATGTGGGCTGATCACACTGCAGCTTTAGGTTGAATGTGTCTAAACTACCTGAGGTTCTTCCTAAAGCTCTACGGTTAGACTCCTATAAAACTGTATGTAAAGAAGGAGAAATAACAGTGGAATAATTTGCTTCATCTTTGACTGATCTAACAGCAGTATTGTCCAAGGACCAAGGCCCTTTGAAATGCCCACTAATTATGAGAGTGTAGACAAAAGTCCTGCTGGAAAATGGTATCCTAAAAATCAAACTAACATACTTATGAAAAAGTAGTTGGTGTTCTGTTTTGAGGGGAGGAGAAGGAAGGATGTTAGCAGAACAGGAAGGTGGGAGGATTACGTGGCAGAATTACATTGCTGATTGTGAGAACTGAGAAGACATTGATTCACTTAGAACTTGAGACAAATGTAAACTTTCTCCTTATTCAGAAAGCTAGCTACACTCAAATCGTGCAAATTCTTTAACAGAAGTCAGGTGCATTTTTACTCTCCTGCAGTACTAATTCCACTATCCCCTTTAGTGGGAGGGTCTGTGTCCACTATGCACTGTGATAATTTGAGTCTATAGACAATAATTATTTTCAGAAAAAATCTTTTGGTTTTAATGCAGAAGACAAACAGAAGAGCTAGTGCCACACTGTTTTCAACCATGCTCCTGTTTGGTATGGTTAACCTAGTGAGTGAGAGAGTAGCTTTCCTTGTAGAACTCCTTGTGGTTTTTATTGGAGTAGCCATTGATAAAATAGGTTAGTGCAGTACTTGAATTCTAATATGGGAATCAAATATGTTCTTTGATTCAAAACTGAATGAAGGATTATAAGTATAGTTCACGTACTGCTAGATTATAGTGATTCCAGCTAGCAGTACTGACTGCATGATAGCTAGTGAGGGTATTTTAATAGCTCAATGTGATATGTATAAACGCACAGTAAATTCTCTTCCTTACCCCTCCTGTGCTCCCTGCAACCCCACCTATTCCTCAAGGTTGTTATGTGATGGATGTAATAGTCTTTAAGTTAAATTACTCAACAAACTTGAAGACTAGCATATGTTTATTTTAAATACGTCTTTGAATAGGTAGCCATTTTAAAAACAAAATTTTAATTAAATTAATAACTGCTATTTTAAAAGGAGGATATAACATTATGGGGGAAAGTACACTTATGCTTGAATACAGTAGCTAAAAACTGTAATGGTTTTCTAAACTGTACACCATTTAAAATATTTCATGTAATACATCATGTGAAGCAGAAATTTAGGACCAGTATCTTTGAGTAGTTGTATCTAGATGTTAATGACATCTGCTAGTAAGAAGTCTTCAGAAGACTAAAAAAAATTCACTTTAATGTGGAAAAACTACATTTGTCCTATATATCATATTCATCAGTCATAGTAAAGTATTCATTCCCAAAGGGGAAGGTAATGTACTCAGAAAGCCTAGAGAAATGGAAGACTGTCATTCAATTCAGATGAGCTTTAATAGTATTCTGATGGGAAATTGGGTTATAAAACCCTAAGATTTAGATTCAAGTTACTACAGATATGTTTAATTAAAACTGAATCCCTTTAACCTTTCTTTTAAGTTTTCAAGCAGGTTAAAGTCTCAAACTAAATTTATGATTATATTGTATTTAAATTGACTATCAGGTTTGTTTTTAATAAGAAAATTTTTACAAAACTCAGCTTTTTATAAAGAAAATTGGAATTGAACCACTTGGGGGGGAAGTTGGAATTACACAAAGAAACAAACACAGAACTTAAATAACAGGGGCTCTTTAGGCTTTAAATTGAAATGTGATGGCATATAATATAAAAACAGTCAATTCATGCTTTTTTTAGTTCTCATGTAGGGAGATGGATAGCAGTGTTTTTCTCATACCGTTTTACTTAATATGGTATTGTCTGCGAGTCACTTAGATGTTTGACGGAAAGACACAAGAAATGATATGAAGTATTAGTCCTTAATACTTGATCTGTGAAGTTTTTGTGAATCAAAACCTAGTAAAAATGAAAACAGCAAGTGTGGACTGTGTTACAGACAACCTAAACTTCTTTCAGAATTTATATTTAAGCTGATAGTTGATAATAGCTTTATTATGAACTGTGCTTAAGATAAACATTAATAACTTATTTCTGTAATTATATACATGTAAAGTATCAGTCTGCAAATGTGAAGTTTTTTGTGAATGACTTTTAGGCTTTATAGCAGACAATAAAAGCTGTGGTATTAAAGTATTTGGCCCAAATTGTGTTGGTTTTGTACCTCATTCTGAGACACTTGTAATGAATGGGATAGCTCCTACTTACAGAGTAATTCTTAGTATTGCTGTGCCTTCTGGAAAACAGCTGGAATCTAGTAATAGCACACAAATTTGTATTTAGATTGGAGGATGAAAAACAGAGTCAAGAAAATCCCAATATTTTCAGAGTTTTTTCTCTCTTCTCTAAAACTCCATAATTGGAGAGAAAAAGATATACCTGTTGGTATTCTGGTACAATGCATTACTCTATCTGAAAGGTATCAAATGAACATCCAAAAACATTAAGTTTAGTCAATTAGTACTTTTAGCCTGTCAGTAAGTCAAGTGTATAAGGCAATTAGCTGAATTTCTGATACTAGAGGCAGTATCAACATTATAGCTACCTTAAACTCTCAGTGATAACATGGTGAATATTTTATTTGAATGCTGTATTGCTGAAGAACTTGGTGACAACTGCAATTTATTGCTACTTCAGAATCAACTATTTCAAGGCAAGTCACTAAACTACCAAGTTTTGAGGGTAACCCATGGAATTTGTTTGGGAATTAGAACACTCAAAATTGTATTTGGCCATGCAGAGACTTAATTTATCTGTAAACAATATTTTAATTAAAAAAAATTTAAGAAGCTTGAAAGAGTAAGTATGTATAAGCTAACATGGGAGTCAGTATTTGATATAATACATAGCCATACTTGCAGTTTCTGTTCTTAAGTTCCCTTCTTTTTCCTCTAACTTCCGTTCCCTCCATCCCAGCTAACATTGGAGCTAAAATGTTGGTCACTGTGGAATGTCTGTTTGTTTTGGTTTCTGCTTCCTTCTTCTTGTGCTAGTGGGGAAGGCTTCTGCTGAGGCTGGAGTGTGGAAGGAGGGTGGGCTGGTTGGTTTGGAGAGGGAGTTTGAACTCTGCCAGGCTTTCTTCAGAGCACAGCCACCAGGCTCATAATTTGGGTATCTGATAGCTGATTGGAAACTTTTCATATCTTAGAATGATCCCCTACCCCGACCTGACTCAACCTTTTACCGAAGTGGAGTCTAGATACTACTGTAACATTATACTGAATTACTTGCTACTTTCTTTAAAGCTTTTGATAGAAAAATAACTAGATTTCATGAGTAAAGTCGAACTGTGCTATACTTCCGTGGATGCAGACAACTGAAGGCAGTAGACTGAAGTATAAGCTGTTATTAATATCCAGGGGGACATTCTGTCTGAGAAGTAATGGCATTTGTTTTTATGTCAGTTTGAGCTGTTTAATCACTTTTTAAGCAGATTATGTTAATGACCCTGCTATTGAGCTGTTGGAAATCGGGCAATGTAGAAAGAAGATGACCTAATTGGCCACTATGTAGAACAGTATAGTGGCCTTAGAGAATATCTCCATTTATGTTCTGATTTCATATTCCAAGCAAATGGTATAAAGGTATCTGTTGGGATAGTGGGTTTTGATGCCCCTTCCGTTGTCTGAACTGCTGTTTGTTTGATATCTTTTCCTCAAGGAAGGTGTGTGAATGCTTGCTGGATTCTGTATTCTTTGAGCATCTTTCAGTTGATCAGAAGTATATGGAATGTAGAAATATAATCGCTCTAAGAGATGAGTTTATTGCACTTGAGAATTCAGCCTCAGTTTATGAAGTTTTTCCACTTCTGAAAAAATAGTTAAAACATTGCACTAATGTACCAGCTCTTACATTGGAACAGGTGAATGATTTGGTCAATATGCAAAAAGTACCCCTTTCCCCTACATGAAGCAAGAGGAGTGTTAACTTCTGATATGCAACTCCAAGTTAAGCCATGAGCCTCAGAGCTGTATGGCTATATATTTGCCAATGTGAAAATAAAACCAGAAGGTGCAACAAGAAGTCAATTTATTATTTAGCTGGAAGTACTGCATTTTAATTGATTTTTAATGATAAATAGTAGAATAAAAGCTGTTACAGCTTTGAATTTAGTTCTAGGTTAAAGCTCAGTTTGTGAGCCTTTGACATGCTAAGGGTGCAGTTCTGAGCAAGAAGCACCCTTGTGCCTCATGCTGCTGAGGTAGGATGTAATGTTAAAATAGTTGGCTGGTTTTGAATGATCTAATCACAGATGAGAGAAACTAAAATTACCAGGCTATTCAAGATGTTTTCCATGTTGGATGAAGTTATATCTGCGACCTGAAGTTTTGTATGGAAGGTCTTGTCTTTGTGTATGGCTAATGGGATTTCTGTGATGGTGTCCTTTTTTCCTAAAACCTATTCAAGCTGATTATTTGAACCTTCTGCTCGTAATCTTCTCAACCTTTGCCTGTTTGTAGCTATTGGCAGAGTTTTTGAAGTCCCTGTTTTCAAAGTAAGGTATTTCTTCTTGTCTTCATACATTGCTGATGATACCAAGCTGTTTGGAGAGGTAGACATGCTGGAGAGGAGGGATGCCATTCAGAGGGACCTGAACAGGCTGGAGAGGTGGGCCCAAGCCAACCTCATGCAGTTCAACAAGGCCAAGTGCAAGATCCTACATCTGGGTCGGGGCAATCCCAAGCATAAATATAGGCCCGGCGGGGAATGGCTGGAGAGCAGCCCTGAGGAGAAGGACCTGGGCATGCTGATTGACCAGAAGCTCAACATGAGCCAGCAAAGTGCGATTGCAGCCCAGAATGCCAACCGTATCCTGGGCTGCATCAAGAGCAGTGTGGCCAGCAGGTAAAGGAGGTGATTCTGCCCCTCTACTCCACTCTCGTGAGACCCCACCTGGAGTACTGCATCCAGCTCTGGAGTCCCTGACAT